TGTGAGTGTCGATCTATGAAGCAGGAGGTCACGGTTCAATTCCTGGTCAGGCCAGATGCCAGGTTGTGGGCATGATCCCCCAGTGGGGGGCATGCAGGAGGTAGCCTATCAATGATTCTCTCTCATCATTGATGTTTCTCTCTCTCCCTTTCCCTTCCTCTCTGAAAGCAATAAAAAAACAATTTTTTTTAAAAAAAAGGTATGAAAAAGTACCCCCTACCTACCAACCCAATTATCCCCATTCTGAGGCAGTGAAGGGGTGTGTCCTGACAGAGGGGCTGGGTATCAGGGGTACAGGAACCTAAGGAAGAAGGTAGTGGTTATTTACTAACTGATATGGTGGATTCCGTCTTTTAGTAAATGATACAGCTGAAGTGGTTGGTTACTATCTCTGGCTGTAGAACTAATCTCCAGACATGTTCCTTGAGGTGGGGTAGACCAGAACTTTCCAACCTGTCTTCTGGGACATCCTGTCATGCTGAATATTGATTCCCTCATTTTTCAGTTTAGCTGGATGGGGCTTGGGCAGTCATAGTTCTGGGTGGGTCATCTTGTGGGATGAGCATCCTGTTCCATTTACCCTTACCCTTATATGTTCATAAACATTCTCATTTATGTTTGTGTCTTTACAGAAATTTTTTCATGGAATTGAAATATGAACTCTTTCTCTCTGTTTATTAAAATGATGGCAAATTTTCAAACATTAGCAATAGAATGCTTTTAGAAGATGGTGATGACATGTCCAGTACATATACTCCAGCCTGGATGTTTAGTTCCTTCTTGAGATGAACCCAACTCAACTTTTGTAAACCAAAGCAAAATTAAATAGACTTTGTTCCATAATGCCTTCTCTCCATATTTGACTTCGCTCATTATCCACTTTTCTAAACCTTCTCCTCTCCCACCTTCTGCCTCATATCTTCTCTTCTATTTTTTTTTGCTAGGACGCAGCTAACCATTATTTTTTCTGGCTCATCTTCTCCCCCCAACTCGACATTGGGAACATTTTTAAAATTCTCTGTCAAATCAAGTCTCTCCCTCTACTCTCTTTCTTGGTTATCTCTCTGGAGAGTATGTCCAAGTTAGTATAATTTTTCCTTTATTTCCTTGACAAGGTCCAGAAGGGATTTTCTCCAATTACTTGTTTGGCCTCTCCACTTAGGTTTTCTTTCAATACTATAAACTCAAGATGTTTAAAAGCCACTCTTCCCTTTTGCTCCATCTTCTACTTTTCTGTCCTTAGTTAATGTCACCACCTATAATATGTAAGCTTTGCATTCTCTTTAGGTTTCCCCAGTGTCGAGTTACTTACCATGTTCCATAGATCCAGGCTCCAACCTGTCTCCATCTATTTCTTTCTGTTTCATGTTTGTACCACAGTTGAACTTAGGTTCTCATGACCTCTTACCCAGGTTGTTGCAACAGTCACCTTGCTGGTCTCCCACCTCCATGCCACCCACTTTTCAAAACTTTCTTTGTATGATTTCAAGATGGTTCTTTCCAGAGCCCAATTCCAATCTCCCCCTCGCTCCAGCTTGAAATTCTCTGGGAATCCATCTAATCTACTAACCAAGCATACACTTTCCAATCTAGCATTGCAGATTTGTTTTCAGTATAAACCCAATTTAACTTTCCAAGCTTACTTACCATTATTCTAACTAATTAATTGTTTATTAAAGCATCGGTTGGACACTCACTTAATGATAAGCAATGGACTGCTGCTGGTGATAACATGGTGAATAACAGCATCAGTGTCATAGTCCTCATGGAGTTTTCAGTCTAGTGGGTGTGCAGGCAGAAATAAATAAAATTTGTGAGGTGCACAGGCCATAAGAGCTTATAAATGGAGAATTAACCTGTTCATTTAAATCTGGGAAGACTTCCAGAGAAAACAATGCTCACACAAATAAGAGAAAATTACTTTTGAACGCTGCTGAAAAGCCAGGGCAAAACACACATATGAAGAAATGATGTAAATTGACAGTGAGGGAAAAACCTGCTGCTTGCAAGTTTCCGTACTAATAAACACCTCCTTTCTGTTCTCAGCACAGAATCTGGTTCCTGCCTCAGAACTTTGCTTCTAATGATCCTGCTCATCAGGATCTCAGAGCAGGCTTCTTCACATTCTTCTCATGTCCACCTTCCCCTGATCCCTTTACCCAAACTAGTTCTCTGCTTATTATTCTCTCACAATATCATTTTATTTTCTTTACTCTCAGAGGCCCAGTGCATGAAATTCATGCACTCAGGGGGGATCCCTCAGCCCGGCCTGCACCCTCTCGCAGTCTGGGAGCCCTTGGGGGATGTCCGACTGCCAGCTTAGGAGTGGTCCTAAGCCCAGCTTCTGGCTGAGCAGCGCTCCCCCTGTGGGAGCACACTGACCACCAGGGGGCAGCTTCTACATTGAGCATCTCCCCCCTGGTGGTCAGTGCACATCATAGCAATCGGTCATTCTGCTGTTTGGTCAATTTGCGTATTAGCCTTTTATTATATAGGATATATAATAACCTTGATTTTTGTTCTATTTACTTGTTTATTGACTGTCTTCTCCATTGAAATGTAAGCTTTAAGAGGCTGGCTCCTGCCCCTCTTGTTCACATCACCAGTGTCTGACACCTGGTAAGTGCTCAATAAATATTGCCAGATGAAAGAGAATAATGAAGATAAATATTTATATGCATAAATAAAAGATGATGAAAGATAAATGTATATATGAGAAGGTTTATTCTATTTTGAGTTAATAATTGATTTTGCAGAAAGTTAACTATGTTATAGTCCCATAATGAAGCAAAATTTCCTAAAATTCCCCCAAAGATGAAGCTGCTACACAATTTTCACCAATTCTTTATTGAAGAGAAGAGATATATTTTGTTGTTCGCATAATCTGAGGCTTATTTTTAAAAGTCAGCTCCTAGAAATTTATTTTCAAATGCATAAAAAATAAGGGAATTAATACGTGGATGGATAGATAGTAAATGAAAAAAAGTTTGCTAAGATGTTCAAGTTGAAATTTAGGTGATGGCTATACTGATGCTCACTGTAAAATTCTTTCAACATTGCTGTCTGTTTACAAACTTTCATAAATAATGTTGAGAAAGGAAAAATACCTGAGCATATTCATGCCCTCAATAGAGTTTAGGTTCAATCTCCTATATTTTCTGAATCTTTAGAGTTGATGATTAGGTGATTAGCAGGGAAATAGTCAAGAAAGTTTTTTATAATATACTGATTATGCAATACTTATTGTTTCATTTGTATACTTATATTTGGCATAATTTCCAACCAGGATAATTGTGTACTTACTTGGTTAATCAAAAGTTTGGCAACTAGAATCTTTGGCTCTCTCTCCTCTTCTTGCAGCCTGCGCTCTCAAAGGTGGGCCCAGGGGAGTGAATTCAATCAGACCTTGAGGGTGACTCCTGAGTCTTAGTTATTGCAACAAGAGGAATCATTTTCTCGATTGTGGGAAAAGTCTGTCATCCTTTCATTTTAAAAATGATTCACTACCTCTCCATCTTGTGTTTCTGTGTGACTCTAAGGCTTCTCTTGCATTTGGTGGGTTTAGGATGGGAGGAACCCTTACTTTAATAACAATAACCAGTATCAGATGGGATGGGTGTTCCTGGCTTGTGAAACTATCCCATTTGCCTTGCTTCATTTGATTGTTCTGACTATGCTGTGATACATGTAGGCCAGGTAATATTATGCACCACGCCTACTTTACACATTGAAGTATGGAGTGTATACATGACCTGGCCAATTTCATTGTAGAGTATTAAAGAGATGAAATAAGAATCTAGGTCCCTGACCTCTAAGGCAGTCACTCTTACTTCATGCCTACCTGAAAACACATGCAATTTCTCAGAGGGGAATTTCCCCAGGGGGAATACAGTTTTAAAGGAAATAGGATTCAGGTAAGGCCACATAAAGACAGCCACAGAGAAGGTGAATTTTCCTTGGGTTGAAACCATGCTAAGTCATCACAAAATCCCAAATCCATGTCTTTATCCTGTTCTTCCATGTTTAATGGAGTTAAAGGTTAAATCTCAGCTTGACTACGTCCAAGTGAAACTTGTCTGAGCTGAGTACTCTTTTAGGATTGGTGAGTAGAAGTTTGTCCACAGGAACTCTTTCCAAGCGGCCACTGTGCCTTTCATGGGCCCCTCCTGCCTTCGTCTTCCCAGGTACGTGCTCTTGCTGAGGTAGAGCTGCTTATTTCATTAGCTTCTGGGAAGCTATTAGAGATATTCCAGAAACACCAACTGCCATGTCTTCTAATGCCACTTAATTCCCCATTACTTTGAATTTTCTGGCATGGAAATTAATGAGCATTGACTATGGAGTCAAACATCTCTGAGTCTGAAACTCTACTCCACCACTTTCTACCTTGTGACATCAGGCAAGTTGCTTGGCCTCTCTAGGCCCCAACTTTTTCTTTTATAAAATAAGATTAATTATAGGACTGTGTCATGGGACCATTAGGAGGGTTAAGTAAAATAATGCCAATGAGAGGTACAGTTCAGGACTAAATGGCTGGTAGATACTCTTAAGTATTGGTATTAATTTTAATAATTCAGAGTTAGAATATGGAAGTGCTTTTCCTATATTAGAAAAAATTTACCTTTCTATGTAGTTAGAAAGAATTACATTTATATACACCCCTTCCTCCCTCCCTCCCTCTTTTTTTCCTTCCTCCCTTCCTTCCCCCCTTCCTTCTTTCTTCCCTTTCTTTCCTTCCTTCAGTACATCTTTACTGATTCTGCAAGCTAGGGTGGAATAAAAATTAATTAAGGAATCACACAAATGAATGTAAAATTATACCTGTAGTAATTGCTATAGAGCATATCACAGTGGAGAAGCTTCCTTGAGATGTGCAGGTGAGTGACAGCTAACCAGATGAGAAGGCGTGAGAGCAGGGAGAGCGACAGAGAGGTTCAGACACTGGGGTCAGGAGCAAAGACGCTGTCGCAGAAGAAATTGTGAGGACTCAAAAGAAGCCATTGGCGCTGCAGCAGAGAGAGCACGTGCCAGAGTGTTATAAGGTGGGGCAAGGTACACAGGGAAGGGACAGTGCAGGCAAAGTCTGTAGGCATTTTTCCAGGTTGTTCTTTATTCAAAGAGCCATGGGAATCCATTGAAGTGTTTCAGGGAGGACTGTATTATAACAATCAGGAGTCATTAGAAACCTACATTATGAAGGGCAGAAATGGAATGCCCTGCAGGCTGGATCATCTAAATTCCAAATCAGTGCTCAGAGATCTGGGAAACTGTCAAAGTAAAGGCCTTGGTTCTCCTCCTCTGGGAAATTTATTGAACAAGTAATATAAATATAGTCATGTGTCTCCCCAGATGCAAATACCAGTCACTGCAGGGTGAGATAGAGAAATCAATTGAGAGACTGAATTCAGAAAAAGGACTATTTTATTGACTAGCACTAGTAAGTTAAAATGTATTCCATTATAAACTTTTGTTCTTACCTAGCACCTGTTTTGAACTGTAAGTGAGAGCAGGGAGAGTGACAGAGAGGTTCAGTAACTAGTATAGTGTGTCTGTGCTCTTGCTCATATATTCATGCAGGAAGGGGGTCGGGGAGAGGGAGCAGCTTACAGATGACCTCGGCTGCAGGGAGAGAAAGCAAAGGGCATGACCTCCATTTAGTTTTCACGTTTCCCGTACATCATCTGTCTAAATCTCCCAGATTTGTTCAGTTTCACAGTAACCAACTCCATTTGGGGAACTGCAACATGGGCTAGTTTTCACCTTGAGGAAGGAAGGTCTTGAGGTAGTAAGTGTGTTTAGGGAGAGGTCTGGTTGCTATTTCCAGTGACTAGGAGGATAAATCATGCTTGAACTTCTCTGGGAGTTGGATAGAGAAAGCAAACACTGTGCTCCATTCCTACTTGCAACCCTGATTTCAGGCAGGAGTAATCTGTAGATCCACTGGCAGGAGGATTCTCGGCTCTTCCACCCAGGGCTTACATTATGAAGAATTATGAAGTCAACAAAACTTTTCTCCCTTTTCATTCCCTACCCAACTTCCCAATTGAATATTACTAGTATTTAAATGCCCAGTCCTCCCAGACTACCCGTTCTCATTTTCTTAGCTTTGGCATGCATGGCTTACCCTTAGGACATGTGAGTAATTTAATGTATTTTCCTTCATTGCCCCTCTGTGGCCCCTGCTCCCTCTGCGTCAACCCCAGTGGCTTCTTTCAAGTCTCCACACTTTTTTTTTTCTGCCACAGGGTCTTTGCTTCACAACCCAGGGATTAAATTAAGAAACAAACAGACAGACAAACAAAACAGAAAACAAACCCAAATATTTTGCAGAGTTTGGAAGAAGGGGATGAAATGCTTCCTGGTAGAATGTCAGACAACAGATAAACCCCTAACGCTGGGGATGGAAGACAGGCCATTTGTTTTCTTTCCCTGCAGACAAGGTCATGTGTAAACTGCCCCCTCCCATCTCACCTCCCACCCCCTGACTAGATGAGCAAAAGCACAGACATATTAAACATCACATACTAGCTACTGAGAGTGTCGACTCATCCTTCTAATATTGAAACTCTTTCATCCTAAGACATGCTTCAGCAGGGGGTTATGTAACAGATGAAAATGCCTTGACATGGCCTATGGTCTAGTTTATAGAAAATATATCCCTCTCTTGCAGTAGGGTCACCTAATAATGAGGTTTGGCAGTTCTGTTTTGGTGGTTAGGGATTAGGCAAACAAATCTTATAGTCAGGGAGAGTCTATTCTTACTTTACCAGTTGCTGTTGGGACTAAATGTAGGAAGGACTTTTAAGAAATGTTACAACTTGGAAACAAATTATATATATATAT